AACAGTTTGGTAATATGTCATTTAAAACAGAAGTAAAAGCATTTGTTTTCTCCCTATTTGATCCCCCCCGAAATTTAATAACTTTAAGTATCCTTATAATTATTATGGCAATGTGGCTATTTTTATAAGTTCAATGAAAATTAACCCTCTCTCTCTTTATAACAGGATATAATTTAAAACTTTGGATGTAAGATAGCATGTCTCATTTACATGTTGCTGACCCCTTTTTAATGTTGCCTAAATTTGGCCTGGTTCTGCTTTATCCTGCTGTTCATCTTCCCCCCCAACGTGGGACACAACACACACACGCACACGCACACACTCTATCATCCGAAGATGGAAACATGAGGTATTTTTCTAGTGGTTGTGACATGAATCTTACGTATCTAATCTCAGGAACAGCCTAGTACCTTCTATAGAGCACTACCCGTATCCTCAGTAGAAGCGGCCCAGCCAGTTGTCCCCCTTTTCATCGTCTCTCCTCAGCAGCACAGAGCTGACTGCTTCACCCTCTGCAGCTCAGACCCCCTGTGCACTGCCACAGCATTTGCTTCCCTGTGTTTCTTTGCTCATCTGCCACTATTCCTGACAGGGAGGTATGGCATCTCTTTATGAAGCTTACATCCTAGGGGAAAGAAGATAATGGTCTTCTTCTTCCTGGATCTCATCCTTTTGTACTTAACATCCCCCCTCCTCCATGTATCCCTTGTTTTCAAATGTGCACCTTCTTATTGGAATTAAAAATCCTTCCGCCTCTCCAGCTCCATTTGCTCCTTTTCAAAACCTATCCATTTTTTGTTGCTTCAGACATACATTACTGAAATTGTGCTCTGACTTTAGATGGAACTCTGTTCTGGGAGACCTAAAGGCCAATTAGGCTGACGAGCCAGGATCCAGCATATTAGGATAGCTGCTAGCCTAATACAATAAGTGATGTCACAGTAGTTATGTAATCCAAGTATGAAGGGAAAGCACAATAGAACTGAGAAAGAAGAGTTTACGGTACTGGTGTAATAAAGGTCAGAAGTTGGGACCCTGAAGTAGATTTTGGATTCTGACTGAAGGGGGGAGAATTCAGAAAAAGCACACAGAGTGCCTGGTCCCGGTGGAGACAAACTCTTTCAGCACCTCAACAATCATACAGCCCAGGTGATAAGAAAATCCTGGTTGGGCACCTTTTAATAACTTCAAAGATGCTTAAGATTTGTTCTAGGACTAAACACAGAATTCTATGGAAGAGAAGAGAATGAAGAGGCCAAATGTATTTCTGAATTTGTGTGCGGCTATTCAAAGTATACAGAGGTGGAAGCTTCATAGAAAACTTGTTTTGATTCTTAGACAATACGAGCCCTACTGTAATCAAGCCTAAACAATGGCAAGAAAACCTGGAGATGCTATAAAAACAACCCAATTTGAAATCAGTAGTTAGAACTACACTTTACTTGCAGGTTATATTCCAAAGTTCAGCCTAAGGCAAAAACTGCATATAGTTAAAACTGCTCTTGAAAAACCCACAAGAACATGGACAACATACTATTTCTCTGTAAATAAATCCAACACAACAGCCAGATTTCCCCTCCAGCATTCCACAGATTAAGTAGCTGGCCTGTTTACTGGTCACATTGTTTGGACGGTACGTATCTTTGAACACCAGGAAAGAAATATGCTCAGTACCTATCAATACAACCATGGATGAACTCACTGAGTTAGTGAACTGCAAACCCACACTTCCCATCTCATGGTCGTTCTAGAAGATAAATTCCCTGAGTAGAAATGGAACTGACCATATTATTTAAATAAAGAGATTACTTATTTATGGCTAAGTGCATGCAGCAGAATTACAAATTAAATGTGTACGACTCACTGGCACTGTTCTTCCATTTTAGAAATACCCGAGTGGACATGGCTTCACTCTAGCAATCCTTTAAAACTTTTGGACATGATCCACAGTGAGAAATTAATTTTAAATTGTAACCCACTACACATACATCATACATCTGACAAAAAGTCACAAAATATTTACTTTTATTACATGCCCCATACTTGATACATTCCATCCTGTTCTATTTTGTTAAAAAGAAATTTAGATTGCAACTCACAATGAGTTTTCTTGATCCCTAAATGGGTTGCAACCTATGGTTTGAAAACACTAAATTGGAATATTTCAAACTTTTAACTACTCAAAGAATTACACAGGGAAACTGTCTTTGGATTAAGGAAAACAAATCAAGCAAGTACATTTGTCCATAATATTTTAATACTTTTCCACTTTAAATACTGGTTTTAATTTTGTGATTGTAACATGGAAGATCCAACTTTATTATTTTTAAAAAACATCATCAGGATCATAAAGCTATTATAGAATAGTTAACACTCTACACACTCCCAAGGTACTTTAAAATGATTATGTTTCGAGTCAGTAGATGAACAATGACAGTAATCCAAATACATTGTCTGCACAACTCGGACTAAATACTGGTGAAGTGTTTAATTGGACAAACAACTGAGAAGCTTAAAGATAACCAGCACAATTTCACAAGAGAACCAGCTCAGCCCAACTAAAATTTTCTCAATAGCAACTGACACTGATGTTGTATAGGAGTACAAATTAGCTGATGAAATTGAACAGACGGGAAACCCATTCCTTCTTTTCCTTATTCTGCCTTCTTACACTTCCCTGGCCGCTGTCTCCCCATCACCGGTCTGGCTGCCCCTGCGGCAATCCCAAATGAAGTGCCGCAATGGTCATCCTTCACCTCAACATCGGGAGTCCTGGCTTCCCGGTGAAACATGGTGTGCTATCTCATCCTGTACAGTGGGCACTCGGAGAAATCCCCATCACCAATATTTTTAGGAGAGTAAAGTGTTTTTTTTTTTTTTTTTTCCTTTGGGGAAAAATATCTATGGATCAGAAAATATCACAAGTATTCAGTATGTAGGATTAGCCAATTAAAATAATTCTAAAGGGTCTGAATATTGTTTAAAAGGCCAGTATCTCTCCAAATTTTGACCTCTTTCCATATTCCCCAATTCATTTCCAAATGTGATTGGGTGGGATTAACTCTAGTGAAGTACTAGTGCAGTTATCTAAAAGTAAAATGTATCCTTTCTCTTCTTTTTTTAATACAAATATTTTTAGTGTAATCATTTTATTTACAGAATAAATTGCAAAAGTATATCATCACATTTAGTGTAAATGTAACTAATGATTACTAGGATTTAGATACTGCTTTGTAAATTTTCCATACCTCTGTAAAATAAAGCTATTCAATTTAATTATGAAATAGTTACTTGTCTATGTTCATGATAGTTACCAGAAATGGCAAAAAGAGAAACATTTATAGTGGGCATACAGAATTTTTTTTGAAGATTCCCATCTGTGGCTATGTTGAATACACCTTCCCTCCCCAACCCTCCCATTTTCCCATCCCCACCCCACAGCTGATTGTAAAATAAAATACACATTTGAGGTATAAACTTTTTCTTTCTTTTTTAAACATCACAATATAAAATGTTAACTGGTGATGTAGTAAACTGATATGATAATTTGTCTTACTTGCCTTACTAGCATTACCACCATATAGGCACTTTTCCACGTAGTCAAATTATGAACAGCATTTTTCTGTAATAAGGCATATTCCATGCACATCATTTAGAGAAAGGTAAATTAAAAAACAGAAAAGATTTATGGAGCATGAATCTGCGTGCATGTAATGTAAGCATATGTTTTATATGTATTCTTCTCTCTGTACAGAATAATAAATATCACTATATCTGATGCAAGTAATTCACTTCCAGGATTGTGCATATTAAGTGATCAGACTAATCCCATCATTAAATTATCATCTTGCATTTATCATTAAGACTCCACTACCATGTTTGGAATATATACAGGACATGTTCTAAGTGACATGACTTTCTGCTTTACAAAATGGGTCTGATTTCAGTGTTTCTACACAGATAAGTCAGCAAAGTATCTACAGAATGCCTCTGATTTACATAAATACATTTGTGTGTAAACACAATAAAGATTTTGAAGTGGGCAGTCATTTCTACTTCAACGAGTACCACTCCTTGCCTCAACTCCATGCTTCAAGGTGTTTCACAGAGGACTACAACTAAAAAAGGCATTTTATATTTTTAAGTTCTTATAGCAACTAAGGAAAACATTCCAGTTTGAATTAGGTAGAATCCTTTACTGCTCTGCTGAAGTTTCTGATCAAGAGGCAAATAGGAGCATTGGTCACATTTTCTATGAATACTTTGCAACATATCTTTTAAACTGACCCAAACTAGAAGAACTAACAAACATACCTATTACTGAATACTAGAAATATTGAATCAAATGTCAAACAATTTGATTTGCTTTAACAAGCAATACCGTATATTCTCTCACAAATTTTAGGAAAACATGAGCTCATTTTATCCTGACCATTTACCAGGAAGTAGTCTATACCCACGAGATTTGTACAGACTTTCTGTTTGGAAGCAGGCAGAACCAATTTAGGAATTACCAAATTGTGTTTGTAACAAACTGAAAAATATCTGTAGCACATAGTACACAACTAAAAAATATAATAGAAATATAAAGTTATCTGGGGGGGCGGAATAAAGCTTTTCACTCTTTCTCCATCAGAACCAAGGTTCTTCATGGGAGAAAGACTACAGAAAAGGCGAAATCACAGGTTATTGACAGCCCTCAGTGATTAAGAGACACTTATATGACAACATGAATCATTATAGAAATCAGCAGCAATGAATTCTATGATAATACAAAGCAAAAAAGTCAAAAAATTCTAGACATATATTTGACAGTAGGCCTGAAAAAAGAACCCCATCCAGATATCTGGTGCACAGAAAGCATATGCCCCATGTGCAGTCAACTTTTGTGCTTTTCTTTTCTGCACAAAACCTGATTCAACCGAGGATCTTAGGCCGGACCATAGTAAATTAAAAATTCTGAAAAAGTTTCCAAAAATTAAAGCATCAATTCCTAGTTGTGTTTCAAAGTTGATTTTTTTTCTCTTCTAGGAGCAAGCAAATAAAAATATAGCCATATACATGTAATTTTACATGTACTTATAGTTATGTGCTGAGCGAGAAGATCTAGCAGGAGACAGCAAGTGTTGGAGGTTCAGCTTTGCTATTGCAATATTTCTTCATCTTTGCACACAAGACCAAGGTCTTGGGCCAGAGAAGGCTATAGATCCTATGTTCCAATTTAGAGCATTTAATTTTTTTTCCTCCAACATGGAATGTCCCAACAGCCTTGCTTCAGTCACTGTGGGAAAGAAAATGACAAATAAAAAACTTAGCAATATATTACTAGCATCACAAAACTACCAGAACAGATTACTTCCACCCTCTAAATTCATGGAATACACAGAATCTCTATAAAAATTGATCTTTTAAGAATTTTCATATTTAGGAATGTAAAATTATTAACCTTATATTTTTGAAACTTATCCCATCAGCAAGGAATAAAAGGAATAAGGAATCTTTTGAAAGTTAGAAAAAATTAAAGGGCAATATGCTATAAGTAAGCAAAGAGGGAATCAACCAGAGGTCTCTGGATTTTTGGCCTACAAACTGGTATTTCCTTCCTCTTAGGTTTCAATAAAAATTATGTCATACAATACCAATTATCAAGAATTTTGAAAATGTATTCAAGCTATGAGAGAGATTAAATAACAAACACGCTCAGACCCTAGGTCAAATGAGTTTAAGAGTTTTGACTGTTTTAAACATCTATGGACCTCATTGACTCTTTATAAAACTTCTCTAAAGAGAATACACACCTATTGGAAGTTACTATCTCTCCATTATCAAAATTAAGAATGTTAGCTTTCCTAGGGTTTCAATGCTAGGATCTACTTTCATACATACATCTTCCATAAATATTGTGAAAAAAGTGTCACTTTGGTTTAACAAAGATTTTCACCACATGTTAAGGTTTGAATTTGGATCTCTGTCACAAACAGACTCAACCTGGACTCAAAAGGCCAGAACTGAATTTTGGCCAGGGAATCTTTTCAGTTATATCTTTGCACACATACACACATGTCCCCAAACAATGCTACCTCCTTCCCCAGGAATGAATTTTTGAAAAAGGATTTCAACTCCCTCCCTCCTAGGTCCACAAATAAAAAATGTGCACGCACACACACATGCATACACTGTCAATAGACACTGCTCCAAACAGTTGTTGGAAAAGTCCAACAATCTAGAGATAACTGCTGTTACTATCCTAGCATGTATCATTCAGATGTTTAAAAAAACTATTCTTCTCAAGCATAGTTGAAAGTATCTTTTATTTACAACTGCATTCTGATTTCTCTTGTTTAATATAAGGTTCTATTTTCTGCCTTACTAGTTCAGTATCTGAGCTGCTCTGGTAACAAAGTGAGCATAACATGTCAAGAGGGAGGCCTATTCAGCAAAGTCAAGGTGAAGAAGAGAGAAGGCAGACACAGCTGTATGCTTGGTCTTAGTTAGAGTGAAATAGCAATGCTTTAGAAACCTTAAGGCTGCGGTGAGAGAGACAGAGCTGAGTAAGGTGATAAGCCTGCTGCCATCACATGCCATCAGTTTACTGGTTTATTTGATAAATATAGCACAGAGACAGAATCAATAAGAAGCAGTATATCCAGATTTAGCTATAACAATTCCAAAGTACAAGATAATCTAAAAATGGTCAGTGCACTTGTGCTTGAAGAGAAGGAATCCCTGAAAGGTAAGTCTGTATTCCAAAACACTGACCATTCAGGTAAAGTAAGATCAGAAACTGTTTAATATTTTCAGGTAACCTTTTTCCTGGGAATAGCTAAATATCTAAGACATCAATGCAATAACCCTTGTTAGTATCTGGCAATAAATTTAGCCTTTCTGTGTGAGTGTGTCTTCTTTAAAGAAAGACATACTATAAACAGCATTAGAAATCAGATAATTAAAAATACACCATTATATAGTTATTGACTATATTATTTTTAGCTAAAGAAATTGACTTACGTATATAAATTTCTTAGCAAACAATTTAACATCGAATGTAGGCGAGAATGAGAGGATATTCATATATACTTACTGCTTGTGTATCATAATTAATAATATTTACTATTTTAAATGTTAACATACAACAGAGTTCACAGAAATAGAATTATACAAATGGTTCTCAAATGGACCAAAACACGCTCAAGCTCACTCATAATAAGAGAAATACAATTAAAACTACACTGAAAGACTATTTTTCTCTGGTCAAGTCTCACACATGTTGTGAGAAAGTATGGGGAAACAGGCACTCCGATCCATTACTGCTGGTTAGATGGTAAATTAATAAAACCTCTATGGAAGGCAATATCTAAATTACAAATGCACAAACTCCTAGCAGGGCCACACTTTAATATCAACTTTATTATCTACCAGTGCAGAACTGGTTAGATAAATTATGCATATCCATACGATGGGATACTGGATAGCTACATAAAAAGAATAAAAAAGTCCTTACCAATACAAAAAACCTTCAAGATAAAATAGTGCAAGTATAAGATGCAGAACAGTGTATACAGCATGCTATCTTTTCTTTAACAACAAAAAAAGTATATGTGTGGGGAAACAGACTTGTATTTTTTTGTTCAGGTATTAAAAAAAATCTCTGAAAAGATATACAAGAAACTAGTTATAGAATATATAATACTATACGACTTGTATTTTTTTGTTCAGGTATTAAAAAAAATCTCTGAAAAGATATACAAGAAACTAGTAATAGAATATATAATACTATACATATATATATATATATATATTACATATATACATAATATATACATAGTATCACACAGCATATAATTATATATATATTTTTGGTGGGCAAAATTGGGTGAATGAGGTGCTGGGGGTAAATTTCACTGTAAACCTTTTTTTATACTTTTGACTTTTGAACCGTGTTTATGTATCACTTACTAAAAAAGATTAAAGATTCCAGCTCCTTGCATAAAGATGTTCAGTATAGTATTGCTTGACAGTAAAAATGCGGAATCGACCCAGATATTAACATGGGACTGGTTAATAAATTCTGCAACATTCACATAACAGATGTTAAAAGAATGAGATGGCTTTATATGTCTCATATCTTTATACGGAATGATAGTCATTGTTAAGCGAAAAAAGCAAGCTGCATAACAATAAGTATAGAATAAACTTTTTTTTTAACACTTAAAAATATATATCAGTACATACAAAGAAAAGTCTGAAAGAATATACACCAAAAACAATAGTTTCTGGGAAAGGAAAGAATACATGGAATTTGCACTTCTGAAGTTCTACAGTTTTTAAACGTTGAAATTTCTTTAAATAAGCATTCACAGAAAACATAAACAATGAAAAAATAAGTTTTAAAGGCTATAAACTACAATTCTCTATCTGGAAATGTTATAAAACACAGCAACTACTTTTCAACAACTAACTAAAATTTAATATTTCCAGAATCATACTAGTCAAAGTTAAAAAAAAAGGATAAAATATATCTTCCAGTACCTGTGAATACTAGAACAGAATAGGTTTTCCTGCAGTTTTTTCTTGGACGTAAGAAGTAAAACGTTTTAGAAATTTAGGATACTCTCGCTTTGCCACTGCCCTTAATACTGAGGCTGGTGCCCATCCTCCAGGGTTCACTGCAAGTTAAAGGAAAATTAAAACCAATTAAGATATAATTCTCCAAATGCATGTGCACTTAATTTGTTTCTTTGCTTTTTTTTTGGCGGCTGGCTAGTAAGGGGATCCTTTGCTTTTTAAAAATTCCTCATGTTGGAACTGTTAGCATCTCTTCAAGTCTTGACCATTTAATTCCTTAAAACTAACCATCAGACATGATCACGTAGTAATAAAAAAGCATTTATTACCTTTCTAAAATGTTTTTTGTTCCCTAAACTACATGCTAATATTAATATAGCAACACTTTAGGTTATTTAGGGCAGATTTATTCATCAACTCTACTATAATTAAATAGTAACTTACTTAGGTACAACTGTTTCTTTAAATATGCAGGTTGAGAACCCTTATCTGAAATGCTTGGGATCAGAAGTGTTTTGGATTGGGCCGGCCCGGTGGCGCACTGGAGAGTGCGCCGCTTGGGAGCGCGGCGGCACTCCCAAGGGTTCGGATCCCATGTGGAGACCGGTTCCCGCTCACTGGCTGAGCGTGGTGCAGGTGCAAGCACCACGAAGGGTTGCGATCCCGTTGCCGGTCCCCGGTATGGGCGCGACACTGAGGGTTGCGATCCCGTTACCGGTCAGTAAAAAAAAGGACAAAAAGGAGAAAAAAAAAAAAAAAAGAAGTGTTTTGGAGTGTTTTGGGGTTTTGGAATATTTGCAGAATACATACTGATTGAACATCCCTAATCTAAAAATCCAAAATCCAAAATGTTCCAATGAGCATTTCCTTTGAGTGTCATGTTGGTGCTCAAAAAGTTTTTGGAGCATTTTGGATTTCAGATTTTTGGATTAGGGATGCTCACCCTGTACTAGCAGTTATGACCCTACATGAAGAAGAAGGTTCGCATACTTGATTAGAGAGACTGCACTAATTACCATGGGTATAAGATGCGTGTAGCAAGAAACCAAAGCAAACAATGAAAAAGCATGCCAAAAAGCATGTCCAGCAGCATGCCAAAGAGAAATAAGTATGTGACTAGAAACTAATAAGGACTAGGAGAGCAATAATTCAAAAAAGAAAAAGCCTGACAATAAGAAAAAGAACTGTTAATTTCCTTTCCCACTGTTGCTTATAATCCTAACTATAGATACATTCTATTAGGCAACTATCTAATAAAATGGTTCATAAAACCAAGGATATATGACAGTGTCCTAGAGATGGAAGTTTTAGAATATACCTATCCAGCCTCAGCTTCAGAAATTCTCATACACTGGTAGTTCTAGGGTGAAATTTAGGCATGTGAATTTTCAAAGTTTCCCATATAATTCTCATATACATCTCTCCAAATTAAAAATTAGTAATCTAAAGGATAAGAACTAAAAAGGCATTTGTCCAAACTGTCAGTTATAATGTAGCTCAGAATCAAGAACATCCATATTATCAAATAGCAAAAACAAACACAAATACATACCATTAGCTACATATGTAATCTTGCACAGAATGTTGTCCCTGCTAATCTCCTGGTTTCCTTCTGGTGGGCTTACCAAGGTTTGACAGATCATAGCAATATTTATCTTGGCACGGACACATCGATTGTTTAGCTGCCAAAACAAAACAAAAACAAAGCACCAATATACTAGATATAGGGTATTACATAATCTCTGCTGGTTTACTACTACATTAGGTTAACCAAAAAAATTTAACTCTTATCAAAATCTCCAACAAAATCTTACAAGCACCAATAAATAACATATGCTAAGCTATATGTTAACATATGGGATATATGATATATAAGCTATAATAACATATGATTCCAGGCTTTCCCTTCCTCTTAAGTAGTAAGTAGAGCTAAATTGAGGTAGAAACTATAGAAATTTTGTCAATAGTTGATAATAGCTTGAGAGATAACAGTGGGAAGTAGCCTACATATACTACCCATTCAGCTCTGTTTCACCAAACCTTAGAAAGAAAGGAAAATAGCCCTGATAGGATGTTCAGAGCCATAAGTATTGCCCTCAGACAACAAATGGGCTATACTGTTCCAAGCATAAAAAAAATGTAAGAAGTATTATCAAATTAAGTATCTGTGTTTGTAGTATGTGTTAACTGCCTTTACCCTGCATTGTGTATTTACTTTTATATTGTATGATTATATACATTTATACATTGTACTTACAGGAGCACTGTCATGATCTACAGAAAAATTACAAACTATCCAAGTTTCAGGGTCATTTTCAGTCAATGCTGGTATCTTTCTAATGGCAGAAAGATACAATACATCTCGCTGAGAAGCAGGCCACACTCGCTGTGGAAGAAGTAAAAATCTTTTGAAAATTTGAACTACTTTTTATTCAGATGTAACATGGAACTAACAGAGAAAGAAATATGAAACCAATAAATACCTTAGTTGAAGTGAAATCTGTCAATTTTTAAATGGAATGCATGTGAGAATACTCTACAAACACTTAATGGCTTTGCAAAAAAATATAATCAAAAGAATAATCTGTTTCTTCTTTTTTTTTTTTTTCCTTTTTGTCTTTTTTCGTGTCCGGCAACGGATCGCAACCCTCAGTGTCGCGCCCGTACTGGACCGGGACCGGCAACGGGATCGCAACCCTCGGCGTTGCCCCCGCATCTCACTCAGCCAGTGAGCGGGAACCGGTCTGTATGTGGGATCCGAACCCTTGGCGGGAGCGCCGCCGCGCTCCCCAGCGGCGCACTGTAGCAGTGCGCCACCGGGCCGGCCCCGTTTCTTTTTTTTTTTTTTTTCCTTTTTGTCTTTTTTCGTGTCCGGCAACGGATCGCAACCCTCAGTGTCGCGCCCGTACTGGACCGGGACCGGCAACGGGATCGCAACCCTCGGCGTTGCCCCCGCATCTCACTCAGCCAGTGAGCGGGAACCGGTCTGTATGTGGGATCCGAACCCTTGGCGGGAGCGCCGCCGCGCTCCCAAGCGGCGCACTGTAGCAGTGCGCCACTGGGCCGGCCCTGTTTCTTCTTTTTTAATTGTAGTAATATATAGACACACATATATGTTGCCATTTTAACCATTTTTTAGTGTACAATTCAGTGGCATTAATTACACTCACAATGTTATAGCCATCACTGCTATCTATTTCTGAAGTTTATCATCACACCAAACAGAAACTATACCCATTAAACAACAACTCCATCTTCTCCCCTCCATATAAGATAGCCCATGGTAATGTTCTTCTTAGAGACCCAAAGACATAAAGAGCAAAGACTTTAGGGGAAAGAAGACTGCTCCTTTGATAGCATAATGACATCTGAAAGAATTCCCAATAATTTAGATTGAATATTTCAATGTTAAGGTATGTAAGGACAAACATATACTGTGAGAATGACATGAAGCCAGGTCTCTGATAACTAGGACTACCTTCTTTCAAATGATAGAAAAATAAATTTTATCCTCTTTAAGTTACTTTTATTTTGGGTATCTGATATATGTCACTAAATTTTGTCCTTATTATGCAGTGTTTTTCTCGATTACTAAGTATAATAAATAGCTGACAACTCAGTGTCAATACAACACAAAGGATCTACAAAGTGAAATGGTCCACTTTCATGATGCAAAATTTCATGAAGTTGACAAAAGTAGTGTTGGGCTAATGTATGTGAAGACAACAATAAACAAAGATCTGGCAAGTATAGAACTAATGAAAACAAATCCACAAGGATGATTACAAATTTAAAGAATGAGAATAACTTAAATATCAGGAGATAAGTGGGGGTGACCAGAATGCTGACAGAAATATGGACTGTAGATTCTAAGATGGCGACGGGTCTGGAGAGGGGGCGCCAGAAGACAGCGTGAGCCTGAGAAGCGTGCGCTGAGCTGCGAGAGTGCTATCTGCATTTCCAAGAGCAACAAAAAATGAATAAGTCTTTGAAGAACTAATCTACAACTGTAAAAAAAGCAACTACAGACTCGAAGTTTAGGGCCAACACAAAAGAAGATTCGATTCCTGAGAGCGCCAGAGCTGTGCCGCCGACCGAGTAAGCAGCCCCAGGCGGCAGAGGCCAGAGACCAAAGACGGGGTCCACACCAACGCGGAAACGGAGAGAGAGCCGCCCGGACTGTCCAGCTCTGTGAGTGACCCACAGCCCAGCCCTGCTTACGAGGCGATAACTTCGTATAATGACCAGCCACCGACCCCAGGGCTGCCTCCATTTTCTCGGGTGGGGGCAGAGCCGGCCGGTTTGGCCAGGTCTGCCTCCCTCACCTGGATCGGCTCCTCACTGAGCCTTGCCGCTTGCTTGACCCGGCGCGGGGCCTTCCAGGGCCTGCGGGCCGGCCTCCCATCCCACTCCCTCCACGGTTCTATGGTGGGGCTGGTGGTGTGGGGAGCCCCTGGCCAGCGTCGGGAGACAGGGAAAAGTGGGCCGGGCCAATTGTTACTCCACCGCACCTGGGGCTCCACCCCCGGTAAACCTCCTGTTGCCGGGAGGCAGAT